CACCTGTTCCTTTGTAATATAACCCCTTGCCCTGTTTGGGATAGAATGTTCCATGGAAGTGCCTTGTGTGTGTCCCTTCTCTTACTGTGGCCTTGGGTGTGTGGCCTACCCAGATGTCAGTCAGCCTACTAACAATGAACATCATGAAGATAAGTCTCAGTCCCCTGAAACCTGACCCCTTGCCTCATTTGAATAGCTTCTCCTCAATAAAAGGGGTCAGCGTGTGTATGTGTGTGTGTGTGTGTGTGCGCGCTCTCTCTCTCTCTCTCTCTCTCTCTCTCTCTCTTCCTGTGGAACCTTAAGGTCAGAGAAGCCGTCACAGCTTCCCCAAAGAAAAAAGGTATTTGTGTCTCTTGTGTGGTTATTTTGTGCAGCCCAGTTAGCCCAGTTTACCTGGAGTGACCCCTGAGCCTTTTAGTCGTGAGAACAGAAACCGGGCAGTAACATACTTTGTATTCTTGCATATAAACTTGCTGCATCATATGCCAGAAATGATACTGTCACACAACATAGAAGACAGAAATGATTGACCAAAGTGGAAAATGACATTCACAAGGTGAACATGTAGCATGGACCTACCATATTGTTAGTGATAGACCCAACCTGATCTTTTATTAAAATTGGGAGCCATCTTGCCACAAAGCCATGAAAAGCTAATTTTGGCTTTACTATAAATTACTGCAAATTCTGAACCTGCTTGGAATGCCTGCCCGTGCCTTGAACTCACCCCTGCCTGGCTCTCTGACCAGATAGTAGCCCTCTCTGAAACTTTAGTGACACCTCATAAATATTGGCCTTCCCTGGCCAGACAACGACCCTCTCTGAGGCTCTAATGATCTTCATAAATTCTGATGTTGGGGCCAGCAAAAAAAAAAAAAAAAAAAAAAATGTAAACTGCCATTAGTCATTAGTGTGATGCTTGTCAGAGTTCTGTTATCTGTAACCCCCCTTTTGTGTAACTTTCTGGGCTATAAAGCTGGGCTGTAGGAAAGGTGGGGTTGCTGTCTTGTTCCTGCTGTTTTGGGAGGGAAAGGCAGCCCGTCTGGTCAAAATAATAAGCTTGCTTTAATTTGATTTTAATTGGAATCAGTGGTCTTTTCTTGCGTCCTGGTCTAACAGTTAGCTGCAGGGTGGGCTGAATTCCATCCCCATCCATCTGGTTCTTTATTGCTTGTTTGCCTCAAGGCTGAACACTCAACCCCATTCAAGGCTGAACACAACTCCCACCCATCTGGTGCAACACAAACCCACATTGGGGACCCCTATCCGGTCTGCCTCAGGGCAGAAGATGATACCCTTAGCAACTACTGTATGATCCAATCACTGTATGCCAACAAGGCAGCTTGCAGACTCAGAGACCCCATTAGATTTTAGCTATAAAAACTCTTTCCTGGAGGCTGGGGATGTGGCTCAAGAGTTAGCGCGCTCTCCTGGCATGTGTGCGGCCCGGGTTCGATCCTCAGCACCACATACAAAGATGTTGTGTCCGCCGAAAACAAAAATAAATAAATAAATAAATATTAAAAAAATTCTCCCTCTCAAAAACAAACAAACAAACAAACAAAAACTCTTTCCTTCCGGGCTCCCTCCATCTTCCTCTTGCACTTTGTCCCCTGCCCCTTTCTCTCTCTCCCTCTGGCTTTGCTCTCTCCCTTCTTCTCTTTCCTTATTCTCTTTTTCTCTTCCTTCCCTGTCAGACACCGCCAAATAAAGATCTCTTGGTCGCTCCAAGTGTCCTGGTTACTTTCCTTTCACATATGACAAGATAAAGTATGTTTCCATAACAACAAAACTAACAACAAAACCACTAGAAAAGCCACACAAAGGTGATGTTAAGCTTATAAATCCCAGGTATGAGTGATTAAAGATAGCTGCAAATTCATTACCTTTTCCCTTTTAGAAGTGAAGTGTATGTAATTTACTTCCTCTCACATCTGAGCTGGCCTTAGTGATTTACTTAGCCAATTATCATGTGGCAGAAGTGACATTCTAGAAATTTCAAGGTGAGGTCATAAAGCTTGCAGCATATGCCTAGGGTTCTTAGAACATTCTCTGGCAGCTCAGAGCTCTGTAGGCATTCTAGTTGCCAGTCCCAGCAGAGGCCAGACTTCCCTCATCCCCCCCCCCCAAAGTTGACAGTGTAAATAACTTAAAGACTGCAGACCAGCCCAGCTGAATTCTACCTGATGACCTCTGTTAACACCAACAGAAGATTATCTGGCTGAAACCTGATCTACTTTTTGACCACACAATCATGAGATTTAAGAAAAAGTTTGTTTTAAGCTAAGGTAGTTTGTTAAGCTGCAATACAATTCTGCCTACAATGTACTTTCTATCTACTCTTTCTCTTGTATAGTCCCGAAATTTCAATCCTAATCTTTTTTTTAAATATTTTTTTATTTAAGTATCTTTAGTTTTAGGTGGATACATTAGTTTGTTTTTATGTGGTGCCAAGGATCAAACCCAGTGCCTCATGCATGCTAGGCGAGCACTCTACCACTGAGCCACCACCCCAGCCCCTCAATCCTAATCTTCTTAAAGCCTTCCTGTTTTCCTACATTAGGATACTTTTACCTAATAATGTGTAACTAGATGAGTATTTCATTTGTTTGGAACAGTTCCAATTTGTGCCTATTTGTGTTTATTTTTGAATGCTGGGGATTTAACACAGCCTCTTAGCCTATGTTCTACCACTGAGTTCTATTCCTCTAAAAAGTGTTTTTTTTTTGTTTGTTTTTTAATTTGTCAGTGCTAGGGATCAAACCTAGGGTATTGAATGTTAGGTTCTACCACTGGTAGTAGCTTTACCACTGATAAACAATCAGAACCAAAAGTATCCCATCTTAGTCAATAAACCATTTGGTCATTCTGTCCTTAATTGTCCTATTTGAAATAGTATAGAAATGTCTTCTCTCTAAACTATGTACAAGGTTACTTCAAAGCAAGGATGTTTTTCTTTAAAAAATATCTGAGCACATACAATGTGCTACACATCATACAACATGCTGACTTGAATATCTTTATTCCCCAGTGCTTTGAGCAACAGGCTGTTAGGCCACAACACTTCAAAGTCCTGGGTGTTCTCAAGAATTTGGTAAGAATGTGGGCTGGGACTTGAGTAGTTATTTTCATGCTGTTTTACTATGGAAATAGTACACAGGCAGCACAAAGAGGATTCATATGGGATTAAGAACACATGGTGTTAGGGCTGGAAATATAACTCAGTGGTACAGTACATGCGATGCATGAACAAAAATCTCCAGCACCAAAAAACAAAACAAATAATGCATGATATTAGAATGGATGTGACTTCTGGGAAAGTCCCTTTTCCTAGCAGAGGCACACTTCAAGTTTCGGACCTATGCAGTGAGAAATCCAGTAGAGCCCAGAAGCTGGGCACAGCAGAGCCCAAAAGCTTGGCCCCCTATCTTAGGCTGGTGGGAAAAGGAAGGGACCCAATCAATGTCCAGGGCTTGGGATCCTATTTTCTTGCTATACCACAAACACATAACTTAGTTACTAATGCAATACTTTTCTTTCATTGGTATTGGGTCTAACTAAGAAATGAGCGTAGCAACTGGCCATGACCACTCAGAAAGACATTTAGGAAAAGCTTAATGAAAAAATCCAGTAGCACTTTATCATTAATGAAAACCACAGAAAAGTATAACCAGCTTACCTAGCTGATAAAACAATGGAAATAAAGTGCTAAAAACCTAATTGCTTGGCTTTTATTTCTAAATCAATCATCAATCTGCTTAAGATTTCTTTTATACATCTGGTATTTATTTATCTATTTGTACCAAGAACTAAATCCAGTAGTGCTATACCACTGAGCCACATCCCCAGCCCTTTTAATTTTTTCAGACAATGTCTTGTTAGGTTCTACCACTGGTAGTAGCTTTACCACCGATAAACCCTCAGAACCAAAAGTTGCCCAAGCTGGCCTTGAGCTTGTGATCCTCCTGCTTTAATCTCTCAAGTAACTGGAATTATAGGAGTACACCACTATACCCAACTTCTCTGGTCTTTACTTTTAGGAGACACCTCTTCTCTTCCCCACACTTTTTGACATTTGATCTTTCAATCTAAATATTTTTTTATTAAAAAAATTTTGTAGTTGTAGATAAACAGCATTTTCTTTATTATTATCTTTTTAAATTTTTGTGTGGTGCTAAGGATTGAACCCAGTGCCTCATACGAGCTAGGCAAGCACTCTGCCACTGAGCCCCAGCCCCAGCCCCAGCCCTCAATGTAAAATATTCTTAGAAAATAAACCAGTGTCGATTAAGTTCATAATAAATTTTATAAGAAGAAAATGCTGTTATTTTCGAATGTTTGGAACAGTTGTCAGAAAATAATAAAATGACAGGAACATTTACAAATGTTGAAATTATTTACTGAGCTATGAATTCTTGGCAGAGGAAAGGATTTTTGAAGTATCCGAATCCACCTATTACAGAAAACAAGAATGACTTCTAGAATGCCTCTCACATATTTAACCAGTCTCTTCAAATCCTTCCCAAATTTGATGCACTTCATCTCAAAAAAAGAACAAAACCCATTTTTAATCACTTAAAATAATAAAAAAATAGGGGATTAGAGAACAGTCACATCCTTGAAGCAGCTTTGCAATATGCAGAACACAGTACTGGCTTCAAAAAAATATAGATTCTGTGCACTTGCATTACTTAAATGTGAAGAGCTGCCATCCTCTTCCTTTATAAAATTAGGAAGCTATATTCATTCAAGCACATTAACTTCATTGTACTTCATATAGTTGTATACTTGGAATGAGGCTGGAAAAAACATTAGCACAGAGCTGTTAATAAAACAACTTTAAAACATTAATTATTGTGAAATAGGATCAAATGAAAATCAACCTTGGATTAACACATTTCTGATTACATAAATAAGTTACTTTCTTTACTAAAAATTTCCGCTATCAGAAGATCCTGATTAAAATAAAGAAATATATAAAACTGGAACAGGAAATAACAGTGATTGATTGGTTCATCTCAGAAGGTCCACTGGCCCAACTGCCAGCCACAGAAGTCTCTAAGTTCTCAACGGAGTGTGACCAGTTCTTCTGAAGAGGTAGGATGAATGGCAACTGTGTTGTCAAAGTCAGCCTTAGTTGCTCCCATTTTCACTGCAACAGCAAAACCCTGCAGCATTTCATCACAACCAATTCCCTGCATATGGATCCCAACCACCTAAGGAAAAAAGAAATTATGAAAGAGAAATTATTTATTTGGTGTACAGTCATGAGAGGAAATATGACATTAAAAAACCCTATAGGCCGGGTGTGCAGTGCAGTGTGCTTGCTTAGCACGCATGAGACCCTGATTCTATCCCCAGCATGGCAAAAACTAAAATGAAACAAAAAACCTAAAAAAACTTAGATTTTTTTTTTTTTTGTGGTGCTAGGGATTGAACCCAGGGCCTTGTGCATGTGAGGCAAGCACTTTACCAACTGAGCTATATCCCCAATCCCTTAGAATATTTTTAATCCTAATTTGGCATAGCACTGTGACCCTGGACAGGCCGCTTCAATGTCCTCCTGGAGCCCATATCAAACAGCTATTCCTCAGGTTCTCTTCACTCTGTCCCATGTACCAACCATGTTCTCTTTTGCACAATGTGTCCCTCTGTTTGTTCTCCCTCTCTTAAGAGCTAATGATTAAAATAGCCATAGAGTAGTGTCTTTCAGACTAAATTAAATTCCATCGCATGAACTCTCAGTGCCAATAGTTCTCTGTCATGGTCCTATCATAGTCAGAATTTAACCACTACTTGAAGGGGATCCCTTCTGCTTCTGCTCCCCACTCTATCCCCATGGCTGAACATAATGATGGCACTTGGGAAGTACTCAATCCAAATATGCTGTTTGGCTATGTGAAGGATGTAAAGAGCATTTGTTTCTAATCAAATTTCACCATGAAGTTTCTCAATATGTTGTCTATCTTCAGCAAACAGTTCTATAATATATTTATCATTCCATTAAAAAGCAAAAACTAGCTGGGTGTGTGTGGTGCTGCACACCTGTAATCCCAACAACTCAGGAGGCTGAGGCAGGAGGGTCATAAGTTTGAGGACAGTCTCAGCAACTTAGGAAAACTCTGTCTCAAAAAAAAAAAGGCTGGAAATGTGGCTCAGTGATAAAGAATCCCTGAGTTAACTCCTCAGTACCAATTTGGGGGGGTGGGGGGAGAGAATACACTTAACACTACTGAACTGTACACTTAAAAATGGTTAAGATAGGGGCTGTGGCTGTGGCTTAGCGGTAGCGCACTTGCCTGGCATGTGTGAGGCACTGAGTTCAATTCTCAGCACTGCGTATAAATAAATAAAGTTCTATAAACAACTAAATGGTTAAGATGTAGACCAGCTCCACTGGCAAAAAATGAAGTTTCCTACTTTAATCCTTATACAAGGGTAACTGAAATAACCTAATGTTAACTAGTTATTTTCCTATTATCTGTCTCCCCATCTCTGTTTCACAAGAAAAGTAACTTTGAAATGAACAATATGGTTTTTATTCTTTGTTTCTATTTTCTTTAGCCTTTGTCTACAAAACTCCAACTTATAGGAGCTCTCATTCTATTTTATGGAACGAGGTATTACCTGATTCTTGATTAAAAAATAAAGCCAATTAAGATAGTTTTTTTWAAAAAAATTATTTCTAGTTATAGATGAACACACTACCTTTATTTATTTTTATGTGGTGCTGAGGATCTACCCCAGTGCCTCACATGTGCTAGGCAGGTACTCTACCATAGAGCTACAATCTCAGCCCCAAATAAGATAAGTTTTTTTAAAAAAATTATTAAGATGGTTTGTGTATAAATTTAAAACAAAACAAAACAAAAATCCCAAATCAAATATCATGTGTGCATTAAACAGCAAGGTCTACTAAGATCCAACTGATCTTACAAAGAGTCTCTGGTGATGGCAGGAACTCATATATTCTGCCTCTCCATATTGCAGGTCTTACTTAGTCTTTAGAAGACTGCCAAGTAATACTCATCAAATGAATGAATGATGGCTGACATGAGGAAATAACTTATATAACAAGATAAGCAGGGATCCTGCTGACCAATATCAAGAAATCTTAGGCTATGAATGAGCCATCAGGACTGAGATAACAAGCTCTGTTTTGCTGCCACCCTCCTCCTCTGCTCTGGTTCTCAGCTTCTGTCAGTCCTTGGGGGTGCTGAATTCTGTAAATTAGGGACTATATCTGGGTTTTGGCTCACACTAAATTAGACACACTATACTCTTTTTTGATAACAGAAGTTGGAAACAATATCCAAATCTTCATTTAAACCATTGTCCCAAGCAATACTGATTACCCCCCCCCMAAAAAAAAACACCCAAACAAACAAAAGTACATTCTCATTCCTAACAGTTGGGTGGGGATACAGGTTACCAGTAGAGTGCTTATCTGGCATGCCTGAGGCCTTGGGTTCAATCCCCAGCACAGGGGGTGGGGAAGATCCTCATTCTAAGCAATATTGCTAAATTCCATTTTACTATTTAACTAGAAACAGCCTAATAGTCTGGCTTAGGACCAAAATTAAAACTGCTATTATTTTTTAAAATATTTTTTAGTTGTTGATGTACCTTTATTTTTTATTCATTTATGTGGGGTGCTGAGGATCAAACCCAGTGCCTCACACATGCTAGGCAAGTGCTCTGTTACTGAGCCACAACCCAGCCCCCCTATTATTATTATTTTTTTTTTAGTTATTGATGGACCTTTATTTTATTTATTCATATGCGGTGCTGAGAATTGAACCCAGTGCCTCACACATGCTAGGCAAGTGCTCTGCTGCTGAGCTACAGCCCCAGCTCATCTTGGTGGTTTTTTTTTTTTTTAAATAAGGATTTTTTTTTAAAGATGGATATCTTTATTTATTTTATTTATTTATTTTTTATGTGGTGCTGAGGATAGAACCCAGTACCTCACAAGTGCAAGGCAAGTGCTCCACCGATGAGCTATAACCCCAGCCCCCATCTTGGTGGGTTTTGATCCTCATTTTTTAATTTTTTTTTTGTGCTGGGGATTGAACCTAGGGCCTTGCAAATGCGAGGCAACTGCTCACTTGCCTAACATGTGACATCCCCAGCCCTTATCCTCATTTTTTAAGAGAAATGCAAAGTTCTTTCTAAATAAAACACTATGAAGGGCAACTTATATATATGATATATATACATAATATATAATATATGACATATATATTATGTATATATGTGTGTGTATTTTTTTTTAAAGAGAGAGTGAGTGAGAGAATTTTAATATTTATTTTTTAGTTATTGGCRGACACAACATGTTTGTTTTGTATGTGGTGCTGGGGATCGAACCCGGGCCGCACGCATGCCAGGCGAGCGCACTACCGCTTGAGCCACATCCCCAGCCCATTATATATATATAATATGTATATATAGTTGATAAAGTGGAACTGCCTAGTTGAACCTGTAAGCTTACCTACTTGGTCTCCCCCATCCCCTGTCCCAGACAACGAAACTACCAGCATCCCTGTCAACTTTACAAAGCATTGTTTAGCTTACTGAATTCTTTTCATACCTTTTCCTCTTTGTTGGCACAAACCATTTTCATCACACATTTAGTTTTCCTTGTGGTCACTGCGTGATACATTGGGGTAAACGTGGTTGAATAGATCTTCACATTATCTTTTCCATATTTATTAACAGCCTCATCTATAATGCACATTAAAAAAAGCATTTATCAAAAAAGAAAAAAACCTAAATAATTACACTGAGCTATCAAAAAGAAAGTTGGGCAGAAATACTTAGCCTAAGTTAAATCACAAGATGTATCAAACAATACCAAAATAAAGGACATTCTACAAAATAAATGTCGATGGCACTAAAAAAAAAAAAAAAAAGACAGGCTCAAGAATTTTGTCTCTTGATTAAAGGATACTCTAGAGGTATAAAAGCTACTGGTAATACATCATCTGGACTAAATTCTGGACTTGAGGGAAAAAATGTGGAAAATGACATTAGATAATTGGCAAAATTTGCGTAAGATTTAAAGTTTAGGTAATATTGTATCAATTGAAGTTTTCTCATTTTGAAAACTGTATTGTGTTTATATAAGAGAACAACCTTGTTTTTAACAAATAGATACTTAAATGTGTATGTATATAGCGTGAAAAAAATGATAAAAAACAAAATCATTAAAGATATATAGGAATCCTTTATACTCTTTTTGCAATTTTTGTTTAAATTTAAAATTAGTTCAAATAAGTAAGCTAAGAACCATCAGAAAGACAAACAGGGTAGTGTGGAGAAAAGAAACCATACTTTCAAAATATTAGTAGCTGAGGAATAAATTGGAGCTGTACTTAGAGACTAACCAAAAAAGGAGTGTAATTTGGGGGCTGAGAAAGATTTAGTGGGCCAATAAGAGAACAGAAGGAATAAAATGACCTTGTTTTAAATACCTACCTTCTGTGAGTCCAACCGTCCCAATAGGGGGATGACTGAAGACCACAGTGGGGATGTTGTCATAGTCTAATTTGGAATCTTCTTTGCATTCAAAAAGCCTATGGGCAAGTTTCCGGCCAGCAGCTATTGCAACTACAAAGACATTTTAAAATCAGTGTTTATCTTACTGTTCATTTTTTTTTAAACATTTATTTTTTAGTTGTGAGTAGACATAATACCTTTGTTTTGTTTTATTTTATTTTACATGGGATCGAACCCAATGCCTCACACATGCTAGGCAAGCGCTCTTCCTCTGAGCCCCAGCCCCAGCCCCTTACTGTTCATTTTAACAGCAGAATTGTTCTACTAACTATTTATCTATCTGGCATGATATAATAAAGTTTTCTCCGTTTTGAAAACTGTATTGTGTTTACATAAGGGAACAACCTTGTTTTTAACAAATAGATACTTAAATGTGTATGTATATAGATTGAAAAAAATGATAAAGCAAAGAAAACGTATCAAGCTTTAGTTAACAATTCAAAACACTGATATATAAGAATTCTTTACCATTTACTATCAAAACAAAAACAGAAAAACAAGCTACATTGGTAAGTTTCCAAACATCTGGCAGTAAATCTATTTAGTGATGATATTAGCTTTCTGATACAATATTTTTTTAAAGTATCTATTTTATTATTTTTAAATACCTTTATTTATTTATTTTTATGTGGTGCTGAGGATTGAACTCAGAACCTTACAATTCCTAGGCGAGCACTCTACCAATGATGAGCCACAATCCCAGCCCCCTGATACATATTAATGGAACAAATTAGTTTTGCACATCTCTGATTCTATTCATAACCATATTCATTTCACAGTAAGATATTTTAACATAAGAGGTTACTCTTGCCAGGTGAGTAAGCCCAGCTACTCAGGAGGTTGAGGTAAGGAGGATCACAAATTTGAGGCCAGCCTAAGTAACTTAGCAAGACCCTGCCTCAAAATAAAATTTTAAAAAGGGCTGGGGAAGTAACTCAGTGATTGAGGGCTTGCCTAGTACGCCCAACACCCTGGGTTTAATCCCTAGCACTGAAAAAAAAACAAAACAAAAACCCAGAAGTTTATTCTCCTTAGCCCTTTTTATTCCTAACAGTCTTACATTTGGGGGTTTGGGGGGTATAACAGTATCACAGAGCTTGCCTAATATGTGCAAGGACCTAAATTTGATCCCCAACACTAGAAACTTTTTTTTTTTAAGTCAGCACAACTAAGTCTTTTTTTTTTTTTTAAAGAGAGAGAGAATTTTTTTAATATTTATTTTTTAGTTTTTGGTGGATATAACATCTTTATTTTATTTTTTATGTGGTGCTAAGGATCAAACCCAGCGCCCCACACATGCCAGGCGAGCACTTGAGCCACATCCCCAGCCCACAACTAAGTCTTAAGAGATCTATTGTAAAATGTTGACTATTGTTAATAACAATATATTATATACTTGAAAATTGCTAATGGAGTAGATTAAAGTGTTCTCACCAAAACAAAACAGAAAGATACATGTGAGGTAATACATATCTTACCTAGCTTGACTTAGACATCCACAATGTATAAATACTTCAAATCATGTTATATATACACACACTCTCTCTCTCTCTCTTTAAATTTAATTAAAAAATAAATTAGAGCCAGGCATGGTGACACTTGCTTATAATCCTAGGAATTTGGGAGGCTGAGGCAGGAGGATTGCAAATTCGAGGCCAGGCTTAGCAATTTAGCCATGCCCTAAGCACACTAGCAAGGCTCAAAATAAAAAGGGCTGGGGATGTGGCTCAGTGTTTAAGCACCCCTGGGTTCAATCTCTATTACCAAAAATAAAAAGTTATAAATAAATAATAAATTAGGAGCCAGGCACTGTGACATATGCCTGTAATCCCAGCAATGCCAGCTACTTGGGAGGCTTACCTTAGGAGGATCACATATACTTGGGCAACTTAGTGAGACCCTGCCTTAAAAAAAAAGCTGGGTGCAGTGACACATGCCTGTAATCCCAGTGGCTTGGAAGGCTAAGACAGGAGGATCGTGAATTCAAAGCCAGCCTCAGCAATGGCAAGGCACTAGGCAATTCAGTGAGATCCTGTCGCTAAATAAAATACAAAATAGGGCTGGGGATGTGGCTCAGTAGTTGAGTGCCCCTGTGTTCAATCCCTAGTACCAAAAAATAAACAAACAAAAAATAAAGAAATTACCACCAACAATACAAAACAAAATAAAAAATAAATACAGGTGATGGTGGGGGAAGAGAGCTTCTAAAGCAAATAAAAGGATTGGGGTGTGGAACAGGATAGGTTTCCATCCTGAAGCAACATCCCCAGGGCACTTTAGAAAATCTGATGAAGTCCTTCAGAAAGATGGATCAAAAGCTGAAGGAATGACATCATTAACTAGATAAAGGTGTAGGACAAAGAACTTGGAAAGTGATCCTAAACTCAGGACATGGGTTGAGGTCCTGGATGGGGGAATGAAGGAGAATCAGTTACAAGGCTAATCTAAATGACTTCTTCCAAAAGCCATTTCCACTGTCACAACACAAAACTGTGACTCAAAGACTTCAGAGGGTGACCATATCATTTACACAAAACCTTTGGTCACTGCTAAGCATTTTCTTTTTAATATATATATTTTTTAGTTGTTGATAGATCTTTATTTTATTTATTTATATGTGGTGCTGAGAATCAAACCCAGTGCCTCACACTTGCCAGGCAAGTGTGCTACCACTGAGCCACAGCCCCAGTCCCTACTGCAAAGCATTTTCTTAAGTCTTTTAAGGAAAATTGAATATGGTTCAGAAAATGTCAGGCCTCCAAATCAACATCCATGTCAATACATTTTTACCATTTTGATGATATGAAGATACTTTGCTGAAGTGGATGTGACTGTGAAAAGCTTAACAGTTTTATGTAGCACACAGGGGAAGCAGCATTACCTGGAGTAAGAAGAGCTTTCCCACACACGTCCCCGACAGCGTAGACACCTTTGACATTGGTATTCTGGAATTCGTCTACTATAATATGACCTTTCTCATCAGTTTGAATTCCCTAAAATTATGAAGGGATATCACATGAATACTAATTTGTCTACTAAAAATCAAAGAGCCAAGCTCTACATCTGCCTCAATATGCATGACACCCCTTTACCTGAGCATCCAGGAACCAACCACAAGACTTAACACAACTTGAAAGTGTGTGAAGTTGGCAAGTTTGTATCTTTGTTTAATGTAACAGGTGAAATATTTTATCCAATTTTAAGATGTTTGACACAGTAATGTGCAATTCAACTGGTACTGGAAACAAAGAAAGGAATCACTCAGCTACCTGCTAAACCTGAGTGCTTTTCAACTTTGTTCACCAACGGGCTCCTCCTAAGGCAAGCTAACACATCCCATACAGGGACACAACCTGAAGCAGTCACCAAAAGCATTTGCAGTTTACTATTTTTTATTTTTAAAAATTTAAGCAAACTTCACATTCTACTCTAAAATATACTGATATTTCCCATAACCAATTTTCCTTCTCTGCTGAGACATATATTTGCTTATCTTATGGCTCTGCAGATAAGATACACTCCAGTGTGAGTAATAAATGTACAGCAAAAGAAGAAGCATAATGGATTATACAGGGCAGCATGATGGTTAAGAGTAGACTCTTCAGAGCCAGGTGTGGTGGCACATGCTTAAGATCCCAGAGATTGGGAGACTGAGGCAGGAAGATCACAAGCTCAAGACCAGTTTAGGAAACTTGGTGAGATCCTGTCTCAAAAAACAAGAAGGGTGAGGTATAGCTTAGGGGCAAAGCATTTGCTTAGCATGCACAAAGCCCTGAATTAATCACCAGCACCACCAAAGAGAAAAAAAAGAAGGGTAAAACCTTTGGACTTTATGGGGTTTATGGGTCTACCTGGGGTTCAAACCCCATAATTAAGATGCAAGATACATTATACAGCTATATCTTAACATTGCGATAAAACTGAACTCAAAACTGCCTCATTCTTAAAAATTCTTAAAAAATTCGGCAAACAGAATTTAATACTGGACCCACCAATGCCCACACTGTACAAAGGCAAAGTTGCCCTTGAAGGGTGAAAGAGCTGGATGATTAGTTTCATTAATATAAAAACAGACAACTACTTTGACTAAATTTCACAGAACAATAAGATTAAAAACAAGCCAAGGGGCTGGGTTTGTGGCTCAGTGATAGAGTGCTTCCTGAGCATGTGTGAGGTACTGGGTTCAAATCTCAGCACCACATAAAAATGAATAAATAAAATTATGATATTGTGTCCATCAACAACTAAAAGAAAAAAACAAAACAAATATCTCCCTGGGAATTTTATTCTTTGTAAATAGGTAGCTGGGCACGGTGGCACACACCTGCAATCCCAGCAATTTGGGAGGCTGAAGCAGGAGGATTATGGGTTCAAAGTCAGCCTCAGCAATTTAGTGAGACCCTAAGCAACTCAGTGAGACCCTATCTCTAATAAAATATATAAAAAAGGGGGACTGGGATTGTGGCTCAGCGGTAGAGCGCTCACCTAGCACGGGCGGGACCTGGGTTAGATCCTTAGCACCAAATAAAAATAAAGGTATTGTGTTGTGTCCATCTACACCTAAAAAAATAAATATTTTTAAAAATATATATATATTATATATATATATAAAAGACTGGGGATGTGGCTCAGTGGTTAAGGACCCCTGGGTTCAATCCCTGGTACAAAAAAAAAAAAAAAAAAAAGAAAAAGAAAATAAACCTGGCTTGGTAGTGCATGCCTATAATCCCAGCAGCTCAGAAGGCTGAGGCAGGAGGGTCAGAAGTTCAAATCCAGCCTCAGTGATTTATTGAGGCCCTAAGAAACTCAGCAAGACTCTATCCCTAAATACAATATTTAAAAAGGGCTGGGGGTAGTAATCCCAGGGGCTCGGGAGACTGAGACAGAGGACTGCAAGTTCAAAGCCAGCCTCAGCAAAAGTGAGGTGCTAAGCAACTCAATGAGACCCTGGCTCTAAATAAAGTTTAAAAAAAAAAACCTGAAAAATAAGATTGGGGGTGTAGTTCTGTGGTAGAGCATGTGCTGAGCATAGACAAACCCCTGGGTTCAATCCCTAGCATCAAAAAAATGATGATGATGATGATGATGAAGAAATAACCTTTTATAGAGATGAAAAAGAAATCCACATTATAACAGAATTTAATATTAGCACATAAATGAAAATGTTACATACTGCTCCAGAGACTCCATCAACACTATAAACCTCCAACATAAAATATTCTATTATTGCAATTGAATAAGATAGCCCATTACAAAAAACATCATAAGTATCAGAAACAACAGATTAACATATACTGCATTGGTAACTAAGTCAGGGGCTACTATAAGTCAGGAGCTAAGCTAATTATTTTGCAGGTACTTTCTTATTTACTGTTCTCTATAACACAATGAGACAAAGTAATATTTTTATTTCCATCCTGTATGTGAAACAATTGAAACAGAAAACTTAAATTGCTTGTTCAGGGCCATGCAACTGGTAAATGATAGAAGTGAGGTTCCAGTTTGGTTTGAACTCTGGGAACTATACCCCAAATCACTGTTAGACTTTACTTCAAAATTTAAGAGAAGAATATTTTCTCTGTGTGAAGTACTGGCAGATCCCAGAGAGAGATAGCTTCACATCTGTTTCCTCTGCTGAATAACACAATGTTCAGGATGAGGTATACACTCAGCTATCTGAATTAGATGCTGGGGACAATCTGGGATCAGTATAGGACTTTCAATATTCACATAGCAAAAAGGAAGACTGCAAGAAGGAAGCCAGCAGGAAACCACTGGACCATCTAGACATAATATAATTGGGGACTGATCCAAAGTGATGGCACTAGAAAGGGAAAATATTTCAAAGGAAAAGTGATTGGATTTGATGACAAACTGAATATATGAAATAAAAAGAATCCAATGAATCCCACTCAAGTTTTGGATGGGTGAGATAGGGACAGATTCAAGATTGCTCAGGACAGACTAAGTCAGCTTACCAGATTGTTTAAATTCAAGCCCCTGGAATTTGGGTCCCGCCCAATGGCCCAGAGCAGGCAGTCAACATCTGGAATAGTGGTCAAGGTCGGCTTGCTTCCAGGAACTTCAGTAATCACGGAAACTTCCAGGCCTGATGAAGTCCTTTTAACTTCCTTGACCTATTGGCAAATAAAATGTTAAATGTGAGTGGCAAGGCAAGGGGAGAAGTTGGAAGGAAAGCAAATGAAGATGAAACTTAAATCCCACCTGAAACCTATAGCTGACAAAGACAATTTACTTTCAGCCACAGGCCATCAGCATCAGAAGTCCCTGGAGCCAGGCTTGTTTCCTGTGTTGCCCCAAAGCTCCCAGCCAATGACTGGAAATGTCAACTAATGTTATCATTGTAATGCTTTGGCTTAAAAACAAATTATTAAATGCACTTCTTCAAATCTGTGATAATATTTTAAGTCATAAATCTAAGCACAGTGGCTTGAAAGAAAGGATGTAGCAGCATCACCAAGAAACTTTTCTAAAGCATGGTCAATGCTTCCTCCTGGACATTCGGAATCAGAATGGGGGAAAGGAATAACCTACTCAGGACAGCTGAGTTTATACACAGCTACCCCTCCATTCCTGCAGGGAACTGGTTCCAGGAACCTCCACAGACATAAAACCTGTAAATGTTCAAGTCTTTTATATAAAATGGCATAGTATTTGCATATAACCTAGATACCTCCTTCTGTGTACTTTAAATCAACTTTGTTTTACTTAAAATTCAAAACACAAGGTAAACAGGTGTTAGATTGTATTATTTAGAGAAAAAGTTTGTACATGTTCAGTATACATGCCACTGTTTTCCCCAAAATATTTTTGATCCACAAGTAGTTGACTCTGCAGATGCAGAACCCATTGATAAAAGAGGGCTGACTATGCAGCTTAGTGAAGGTCCTAAGGTGATTTGGATGGTAAGCCTTTCTACTAGTTCAGCATATTTATAATTACAAAGCATGTTCTCATTAATTATTTTACTTAATAGAGTTGATGTTAAAAGGATGAAGTTGTGGGGGTGGAAAAAACATTTTTACAAGATTATTCTCCAAGAAAATTGGCTGAAATTCAAGAATTCCCTGAGGAGTTAGGCCTTAAAAATAGGTTCCACACTATCCTGTCACAGATATCTTAAAAAGAAAAAAAAGAGAGAAAGAAAAAGGCTTCAAGCAGCAATTAAAAATCAAAAAATTATAAAAGTTGATCAAAATAAACCATAAAGTACTTGTATTAAAAATATGTTCCAGGGGCTGGGGATGTGGCTCAAGCAGTAGCGCGCTCGCCTGGCATGCGTGCGGCCCGGGTTCGATACCCAGCACCACATACCAACAAAGATGTTGTGTCCGCCGAGAACTAAAAAATAAATATTAAAAAAAATTCTCTCTCTCTCTCTCCTCTCTCACTCTCTTTTAAAAAAAAAAATATGTTCCATTTTAGTTTGCACTACGATGCAAAAGAAAACAATTTCGGTGCTTTCTCTCTTTGTAGTGCACCAAACTGAATGGGGAATATACTTATAGGATGAAGAAGACAAAAAAAAAAAGATTCCAAGGGTTGGGAATGGGGCTTAGTGGTACTTGCCTGGCATGTGAAAGGCCCTGGTTTTGACTCTTAGCACTGAAAAAAAAATCCCATACTATTTTCTGGAAAACAAATGTAAATATAAAAAGTAAGGATATGCAAAAAGGTATATGGGCACAAACATCAAAGCTTCTAACTGTCGGGTTTCTAATCTTTTACATATTTGGCTTTGTTAACACCTTCATGTGAAAAGTAGCTTTCTTAAAAAAAGGAAATAAAAGAAATAATTGGCAGTACTCTAGGAGTAGAATAAATTTTGACTGAGGAGTTTGTGTTTATAAAATTGAGGGCTGGGGTGTAGCTCAGTGGTAGAGTACTTGACTTGTGTAAGGCCCTGGGTTTGATGCAAACAAAGCATGACAACCAGGAACAAAATTCAAAACCTAAATGGGTGAGGTTAAACGCAAAAAGTGTTATTCCCCAGAGACAGATGACAAGAGGCTATGAGAGGGCCTTGAGGACACACCTGTGAGTACTTCAAGACCTCCACGCCAGAATTCTCCAGCTCTTCAGTGCAGTTGGAACTGATTAGTGAATCAAAATTCCTAAGTACCTGTGTACAGATATAGGCAACAGAGGGATGGGGGTTGTGGGGAAAAAAAATGTGATTAAAGACATGCTACAAACTTGGGAAGGAAATTTCAGTGCTGTATTATCCTTTTCCCTATCTCCTTCATTCATGGTCATATTGAGAGTAGGGTTTTTTTGGTTTTTGTTTTGGTACTGGTGACCCAACCAAGGGGCACTTTAGTACCAGGCTACATCCTCAATCCCTTTTATTTTTTGAGACAGGGTCTCACACTAAGTTGCGCTAGCTAGCTTCAAATTTGAAAACCTCCTGTCTCATACTCCCAGGTCACTGGGATCACAGGTACAAGCCATCCTGGGAGACGGAAGTGAAGTTTTAATAAATCCTCTCTTCTCCTACTAGTGTCTATATTATATTTGACTTAATTCCTGTTTTAGAGTAAAAATAAAATGGATAGTCAGCTGGGCACAATAATATATGCTTATAATCCCAATTACTAAGGAGGCTGATGTCAAAGGACCATAAGTTCTAGGCCAGGCTCTACAACTTAGCAAGCCCGTGTTTGAAAAAAAATAAAAAGGGCTGGAGATGTCATCAGTGCTTACCAACTTTCCAAATGGACCCATGTACTGATAAGACTATAAAAATTTACTTATTTATTAAATACTCTGCCTTTCCTCTTCCTTCCAATTTACTGGATATTCCAATCATGCAAAATCATGTTTATGAAAAGCACTTTTCAGGACATAAATCTCCTTGGGGTTGAATTATATGACATATTTCAAAGCCAAAGAGAAAGTTTTAGGAGTATGCACTGTCCAGGATTGTAAGCAAACCTCTGGTCCCTCCATTTGTTCAAGTTAAGAAGTATAACCAGCCTGGTACAGTGGCGCATGCCTGGAATCCTAGCAGCTCAGAGGCTGAGACAGGAGGATTGTGAGTTCAAAGTCAGCCTTAGCAAAGGTGAGGGGCTAGGCAAATCAGTGAGACCCTGTCTCTAAATAAAATACAAAATAGGGCTGGGATATGGCTCAGTGATTTAGTGTCCCCCTGAGTTCAATCCCTGGTACCTTCCCTCCAACCAAAAAAGAAAAGGAAAACACAGGGAATGAGAAGGAAAAGGCTAAGATTTACCTTATCATGCCGTATCATTAATGATGTCTTAGAGCCCAGGGCTGAGAGGATCCCAGCTATTTCCACAGCAATATAACCTGCGCCCACAATGACACTGCGGCTTAAATGAGAGAAGAATGTTAATGTTTTATAATTTTAGATTTATAGACAAGTTATACAGATACTATGACATTTCTTTAATGACACAAAAACCTTCCAAACTAGAGATGGTTTCTTTCTTTCTTTCTTTCTTTCTTTTTTTATGAAAAAGGAAAAAGCAGTTTTACTGCTTTGCAAGCAAAGGAGAAACACAGGAGACTTCTGTCCCAGAGGCTGTGGTTCTGCCCATCAGCAGGAACAGGGGGCTTTTCAAGAGGTTATTCAAAGGCTACATTCCACATGCTCTGTGTTGGAGTCATACTTCACTTGTTAATTTGGACCATTTCTGAGATCTTCTGCTTCCATCCCCAAAGTCTGGATTACTTCGTTTTTATAGTGGGTGTACACTCTAGAGATGGCCTCTTCCGTGTCTAAAACTAACAGCAGGGCCACAATTCTTAGCACCATTACTCTTCTGTGTTGGGTGTTTCTCCTTGATCATGACTCAGTTTTATCAATTCTTGCAATATGGTCAAGGGCCAATTTAAGAAAGCTACTTTAACTTCTAGGATAATTCTGCAAACTAAACTTCCTGAATACATTTTGGTTTAAAAAGAATCTTCAGTCCTGGTTAAAAGTTTGAATGAAGGTCTAAACCAATAGTGAAGAAGCTCTGATCCTGGACCCAGCTCCAGGTTTACTTTCATGCTGCAGTCTGCAGAATAAGACCTCTTTTTTGGATATCCCCTTTGGGACTGGTGTCCTCTAAAGCTTCATACAACCTTTCCCAAAGTTGCAATGCATCATGGGTAATAAGCACTCAAGGGGAGAACAAAGGAAATCTTGCTCCAATATTTCCCTTAGGCAAAGTACCTACACTGTAAGTCCCAGACTTCACAGGGCTTACAATCTGGATGGAAAAAAGTAAAAACCCAAATGGTTCACCACTGCACAGAGCAGGAGTAGGAGGAGTAGGAGGAGTAGGAGGAGGAGCAGGAAGAGATGATTACACCTGCTCAGGGAGGAGAGCCACACCACTGTGGCCCCCAATTACCAACATGTGGCTCTCCTGGCCTGCTTTCAACTAGAGACAATAGCCAGGACCTGGAAGATCATCACCAAAGGCCCTGCAGGTCTGATTACACCAGAGGTATCCCTGCTAGCCTACTTTTCTTGATTCCTTTTTCACTCTTCCTATGATCTAATACCTCTATATGCTCTCCTCCTACCTCATAAACCTCACATCCCACACCTCCCACACTCTTTGTTCACCATTAGAAACCACAGACATTTATGCAAACCTACTATTTATATTGTAGATATTAATCTCACACATCATTTCTCATTATTGTGACAAAACTGTAATTGTCTAAATAGGAGCTATTTGGTTTCCGGTTGCATATTGTTTGCACTGGGTACTGTAAATATGGATCTCCCCTTTAAAGGTGAGGTATTAGTAACCTCCAGGAACACTACAAGAAAGAAAAACAAATGGCTATAAGAGGTAATGACCCTCTTATCCTATAATCCAGAGTATGAAAAGAAAAATCTCTGTATGGTTCAAACCTATGAAATAGCTCTTCTTCCATCTTCACCATTGTTTCTGACCTCTTTGCCTTTCTACAGTTCTTCCTTCCTATTGCTCTCCTTTCTCCTATCCACCTTCTTTTTATCCCCAGACATGTATTATTGAAGTTCTATGCTGTTTTAGGTATCACACTAGACAGGATGGATAATGATTCCTGCTCTTAAGGAATTTTGGAAGAGAGAAACATGCTCTAGAGTCGGTCAAGGATCACATCCAGTCAGTTCTTGCAGATTAGAGAGTTTAGAAAATGCTGCAGATTCCTGAAACACAACTAACTCTTGCAGGGCCCCCAGAAGCAGTCCATGCAAGAAACAGGCATGTACTGGGTACAGTGTCACATGCCTATAATTCCAGTACTCAGGAGATTGAAGCAGAAGGCCTGCAAGTTCAAGAACAGTGATTTTTGGCTGGGAATGTGGCTCAGGCGGTAGCGCACTTGTCTGGCATGCCTGCGGCCCGGGTTCGATCCTCAGCACCACATACCAACAAAGATGTTGTACCCGCCGAGAACTAAGAAATAAATATTAAAAATTCTCTCTCTCTCTCTTTAAAAAAAAATCCATAAAATTAAAAAAAAAAAAACAACACAGTGATTTAGTGAGACCTTGTCTCATAATAATAAATAAAAAGGGTTAAGATGTAGTTTGGTGGTAGAGTACCACTAGGTTTAATCCCCAGTTTAAAAAAAAACAAAAAACAAAAAACGATGGGGGAGAGGTGCTGGAGATATAGCTCAGCTGGTAAAGTGCTTGCCTTGCATGCACAAAGCCCTGGGTTCAATCCCCAGTAACACACACACACACACACACACCAAAAAAAAAAAAAAAAAAAAAAAAAGGAAAGAAAAATAGGCATGGGAAAAAAATTGGTTTCTTCAGAGACCTGCAAGGAGCTCAGTGCGTCCCTTCAGCTCCCATTAGTACCCTAATGCTAACACTTGCCACTGTCATCTTCACTGGAAGAAATCTTTCAAGCCGCCAAATCCCCAAAGCACTTCTTTTTCCTCCTTCTGGCCTTCAGGACCACTTATGCTACAACCTTCCATGGGATTCATGTTCCCAACTCCATCCAACCAGAGGATAAAATGGAACTACACAGTGCACATAGTATTTTGTCTACAGAATTCATTCTTTCCCTGATTCTTTCCTTATTTACCATGATTATAACAAGGGTTTCCCTGGGTTACCTAGACTGTTCTCAAACTTCTAGGTTTAAGCAATCCTTCTGCCTCAGCCTCCCAAAGCAGCTAGGACCATAGGTGCATGCTACCATGCTCTGCTCAACAGTTAATTCATTTTCCTGTGTTCTTAAAAGTCTTTTGTTTATAACATGTATAAATGCATTCATTAAACTTTTATTCATGTCAATAAAAGCTTAATAAATGACTTCAAAATACCTAATGAACAGATATTTATAATAAAACTTGTTTCAGGTTGAGTCTAGATCAAATTTTATTATCTAAACATGATGACTCATGACCACACTTCTGGAAGCATGCTCACATGTGTCATGTCATTCAACACTAACACTAAGTAGTACAGGGAGGATCGTGAGGGATGAAAGGCTGTTATCCAATACATTTCCATGCACTGACAGTAAACCTAAAAAGACTATAGGCTTTTCTGAAACCTCATCTAAGTCAGAAGATGGCTTGGTCTATATATCCATTTTCACTGGTGCCATGGAACTGTAGAGTAGTCCTCATCCTTTATGAACTGTGGCTATGGGTGACTTAAGGTAAAGATGGATTATTAGTCACTGATGATCTCTGAAAGCATTTGTAACAAGTGAGGCTTAAGACCTCAAACTGGACTGGCAACAGCCACTGAGGGAGCAGCAGATTAAGCACCATCAACTAGAGAGTGACTCAGATGGAGACAGAGGCCAGGCTCTGGGCCACAGGTTCTTTCTTCTATTCACCTCTTACCATGAGTAAAAGGAGAACCACTCCAAAAAGCCTGCAACATGCAGGGCCTTTAAATGAGAGAAATGTTTGCCCTTGTTACCTTCTTTTCCTCTATGAATCAAATTCATGTCAGAAATTTACTAAAGTTACTCAGACAAACCTACTTCAAGAACAATGCCAGGGAATGAAGATGTAACTCAGTGGTACAGTGTTTGCCTAGCATGTGCAAACCCTGGGTTCAATCCCTAGTACAAGAAAAAATAACAACAGTAACCAAAAAACGCCAATGTCAGCTGGTCACTTTGGCACATGCCTATAGTCACCAGCTACTTGAGAGGCTGAAGCAGGATGGCAATTTAAGCCCAGGATTTCAAGTTCACAGCCTGGGCAACATCGTGAGACCCCCATCTCAAAAAAAAAAAAAAAAAAAAAAAAAAAAGAACAAGAAAAGAACAATGTCAGAAAATACATTTTTGTGAGACCAACAGAGCCTTCTTTTATGGAGACCCCTCTGTACTAACTTTGAAAAATCCAGAGTCAATTACTTTAGAGATGTTATGACTTGATGCCATATCAAGCTGAAGAGAGTTTTAGGTCTTTTTTTTTTTTTAAATATTTTTTTAGTTAATTTTTTTTTAGTTGTTATTTTATTTATTTGTATGCAGTGCTGAGAATCAAACCCAGTGCCTCACGCATGCTAGGTAAGTGCTCTACTACAGAGCTACAACCTCTGACCAGAGTTTTCGGTCTTATATTATTGAGTCTTCAATACTATCCTGTATCTGATTTGAGTTCTTAACATTCTACAACGGCCTCTGCCTGAAAGCATATAAGATTTCAAGGATCTACTGAGGAGTACTAGTGGATGAGGTACCCAAGGACAGAAAAGGAGAAAAGGTAGAAAAATTGAACTTAGAAAACACTATAAATGGTTGGGAAGGGGAAGAAGAGGAAAAGTTCCCAGGCAAGACTGTGGAAGAAGGGACCATTGAGGTGAAGTCCACTTACCGAGGCAATTCTTCCAACTGAAAAAATCCATCACTGGTTATTCCTAGGCTGGCACCTATGTAGAAAATACAATATTGATCATACAAGACTGCACTTTCTCTTGTACGCAGCATTTTATGCAAGAACCAAACAGTTTTTCAGTTAACACACAGTTCTGTCAAGTTTAGAAAATGGTCCACTAAGTCTTCTGTGCATCAACACTTAATTTCTTTCTAGAACTAGAAGCAACGGCAGCTAACTAACTTTAAATTTACTTTAGCCAGGGCTGGGGTTGTGGCTCAGTGGTAGAATGCTCACCTAGCACATGTGAGGCACTAGGTTCGATCCTCATTACAACATAAAAATGAAATAATGATATTGTATCCACCTACAACTAAAAAATAAATATTAAAAAAATACTTTAGCCAGATGCTAAAGTCTCTGGGACCCTGTCTCAAAATAAAATCAAAAGGGCTGGGTATGTAGCTCAGTGATAAAGTGTCCTTGGATTCAATGACCTAATTCCCAATATTGCAAAAAGTAATTATAGGGCTGGGGATATAGCTCAGTTGGTAGAGTGCTTGCCTTGCATGCACAAGGCCTTGAGTTCAATCCCAAGCATCACAAACAAACAAAAAATAATTATAATATATAAAAGCAAATACACATACACAGAGATACATACACACAGAACCCAAGCATCATGATTATAAGATACATCTTTTCAGAGGTGATAAATATTTTTAAAAACGTGTCTTGAAATCAATAGATACAGTGCCTGATTCTGTTTCTGCTGTGTCTTTTATGCCTATTCTCTTCTCCTATCCCTGGCATTGCAGCAGGGGAATAGTAACTGTCTTAAAAGACAGTTACTTGAAGTAAGATTGAAATATTTCCATCACATTTCTGGTAGAAACCATACCCAATCTTCTGCACTGGGAATTACAAGTTTTCTAGCTGATCTACATCCTTCTCTGTCCCTTTCAAGTCACTGTCCCATTTGTTTCTAAAATTATCACTGAGCTGGGTGTGGTGGTGCACACTTGTAATCAGTGACTTGGGAGAGGATCACAAGTTTGAGGCCAGTCCCAGCAACTTAGTGAGACCCTTGACAACTTAGTGAGACCCATCTAAAAATAAAAAATAAAAAGGACTGAGGATATAGCTCAGTAGTAAAGTACCCCTGGGTTCAATATCTGGTACCCCAAAATAAATAATCACTGAGATCTTATTACTATAATATTTATAAATTAACATTTGTCAGTTATCATAAATTTAGAGATTCCACTATTTGGCTTAATAAGTTCCCATAAATTGGCCCCAACCCAATTCCAGTCTCAGGTCACAGTATTTGCCTCAAGAATATCAGTGCTAGAAAAACTGGCTGAATTGTTTCAATGTCCACCAAAGACACCTTTATTACCCACTGATTCTTTTCTTCCTGAGCACATACATTCAGTTTGTGTGCACATTCCCTAGAAGTCTTCCTGGTTCATCCCAGCCCATAGTAATCTGGCCTGCCTCTGAGTACTTAAAACCTCATTATCTGGCAATCATGTATTAGAACATTTCATTTAGTGTTTGTATTTGCTTTGTTTTATTTTATTTTTTTTATTTATTACTTTTTATTTTTATTTTTTGGGGTACTGGAGGTTGAACTCAGGGGCACTTGACCACTGAGCCACATCCCCAGCCCTATTTTGTATTTTATTTAGAGACAGGTTCTCACCGAGTTGCTTAGTGCCTTGCTGTTGCTGAGGCTGGCTTTGAACTTGCGATCCTCCTGTCTCAGCCTGAGCTGCTGGGATTACAGGTGTACACTTGGCTTACTTTTTATATTTTAAATAAATTGATAAATATTTAAAATTTTTTTTTGAATAAGAGATTATTTTATTAATACTTTGAGGTTCTAAGGAAAGAGTAAGCCATACAGTATTGGGAGTGAGAAATGCCTGGATTTCTTATGTTCTAAATTATTTGTTTTCTTTTAGGGTTAAATAAATTATTTATTTATTTATTTTTAATTGAATTATTTATTCTAATTTGTTATACATGATAGCAGAATGCAATTCATTTCATATTACACATATATAGCCAAATTTCTCAAGTCACTAATTGTATACAATGTATTTTCACACCATTCTTATCTTCATACACTTTGTTTGCATTTGCTTTTATTTTACTTTTAAATTTTTTTTTTGCAGGCTAGGCATGGTGTGTATGCCTATAACCCTAGCAACTCAGGAGGCTGAGGCAGGAAGATCGCAAGTTCAAGATCAACTTTAGCACCTTAGCAAGGCTCTAAACAACTTGTCTCAAAATAAAAAATAAAAGGCCAGGAACATAGCTCAGTGGTAAAGTGCCCTGGGTTGAATCCTCAGTACCACACACACATATAGACCAAAAAAAAAAAAAAAAAAAAAAAAATCACACACACACATATATATGTATATAGATATATATATATGTATATATTTCTATATTTTAGAAACTATACCTATCAAGGATACTTATGTCTAATATTCTAATTCTATTTAACATATGTCTAACTATTTCATGTCTAATATATTCATTTGTGATTATTTGAATGTTCTATGTCTAATATATTTTATGTTTAATATTCCCAACTAAATTTTAATCTACTTGAAAATGGTATCTTCGTATCTTTTACAGTTAATGTCTTTACTTTTTGGGGTCAAACACTTTGTTTTGTTTTGGGTACTGGGGATAGTACCCAGGAGTGTTTTGAGTTACATCCCCAGCCCTATTTTTATTTTATTTTGAGACAGCATCTAAGTTGTCTTGAAACTGTGACCCTCTTGTAGGTGAGATTACAAGTGTGTGCCACTTGGCCTGGCATGAACACTTTAAAGTTGGTGACAATTTATGGATCCTCTCTTCAGAATGATCCATATAAAATTCAGGATGGTAATGAGTCTTATGGCACCAATCCATGGAACATAAAAAAGACGCATAAACTATGCTCACCATCCAAAAGACCTGCAAAGGTAGATAGGGCCATCTCTGAGACTCCTAATTTAATCTTCTTTTATAATCTCCATATTATAGACAAAAAGATGTATATAAGGCTTACTTATGGGCTGGGGATGTGGCTCAATTGGTAGTGCGCTCGCCTGGCATGCGTGCGGCCCGAGTTCGATCCTCAGCACCACATACAAACAAAGATGTTGTGTCCGCCAAAACTAAAAAAATAAATATTAAAAAAATTCTCTCTCTCTTAAAAAAAAAGTTGCTTTAAATTTGAAAAGAGAGACTGCAATATTAAAAAAAAAAAAAAAAGGCTTACTTAACTAGTTAAACTACATCCTTACAATATCTCTCTCCCTTCAGTCAATATATTTGTACCTTATAAATAGCAACACTTCTAACAGAGACTAGAAACAATCTATACATGCTAAGATTGAGGCTACAATAGTTTGAAATGGATGAAATCTCTTTCCTCTTCACTAACTACCACTTAGCCAATTAATTTAGGTTCTACAGAGACTTTTTTCACAGTCTTTCTCTTTTTTTGGCAGGGGTTGAGGGTATAGGGATTGAATTCAGGGGCACTGGATCACTGAGCCACATCCCAGCCCTATTTTATATTTTATTTAGAGACAGGGTCTCACTGAGTTGTTTAGTGCCACATTCTTGCCAAAGCTGGCTTTGAGCTTGTGATCCTCCTGCCTCAACCTCCCTAGCCATTGGGATTACAGGTCTGCACCACCATGCCTGGCTTCACAGCCTTTCTTAAGAGAAAACTGGGGTCTGGGGATGCGGCTCAAGCGGTAACGTGCTTTCCTGGCATGCACGGGGCGCTGGGTTCGGTCCTCAGCACCACATAAAAATAAAATAAAGATGTTGTGTCCACCGAAAACTGAAAAATAAATATTAAAAAATTCTCTCTCTCTCTCTTAAAAAAAAAAAAAAAAAGAGAGAGAAAACCGATATAGGCATATCCATGGCCTGGTTTGTAATTCTGAATGCAATGGAAAACCCCTCCAAATAGTTAATAACTATTTGCCTTTGAACTCACCAGGGATCTGGCTCTCATGAGGATATGAGGGGACACCACCTGTGGCAATCAGAATGTGAGGAGCTGTGTATTTTTTCCCATTAACCTCCACTGTGGGCTGGGGATCACATGTGAATGCTGCATGGCCATGGATGATTTCTATATGGGACTGAAGAAGAAATAATAACATTAGACTGTTCTTAAGATAAAGCAAAAACACCTGATGCAACATATCAGCTCTTCCGTATCTCCAGTAAAACTTGTGATTTTTGGTTTGAAATGCCAAGACAATTCTGTTTCTTGCATTTCTGTAGAGTTCTTGACTGGTAACTGATACTCAAGTAAAGGGATTGCTGTTACATACTGAAAGCATAAAATAAGAAATGCAAGAAGAAATGGAAGAGGAGGAGAAAGGAAGCACTGAGGGAGAAAGTCTTCCTTACAGTGAGAAGAGATTGAAGAATGATGTGTCTGGAGGAAGGGAATAAGAAAGAGGAAAACAAAAAAATAAAGGTTAAGGGGCTAGTGTTGTGGACTCAGCAGTAGAACGCTCGCCTAACACATGCAAGGCGCTGGGTTTGATTCTCAGCACCAAATAGAAATAAATAAATAAAATGAAGGAACTGTGTTCAACTACAACTAAAAAAATATTTAAAATAACAATAATAATAATAATAATAATAATAATAATAATAATAATAAAGGTTAAAAGAGTGAAGGCAAAAGCAAAATTCTCTGGCCAAGGGAAAAAGATGCAGTCATTGTTTTCCCAAATAAAATGGGAAGAATATCACAAAACTATATGACAGCAAAACTCTTTGTTAGAAATGTTGAAAACTAAAAGCTGATTTGCTCTTACTAACATCATCTATGCCAAGGCATCAATTTGAGAAGGCTGGCAAGCTTCTGCCAGTCGAGATACAGGTATTGGCCTGTGAATACAGGTGACTAAATAAGGATAATGGAGGCATGCAAGTATGATCACACAATGGAATGTATCAACATTCTGGAACATGTCTAGTTCTGAACTGAGCTATTTCCTCTTTTCCAATCACCCCTCCAGGTCTATTCCTGCAGGTGCCTTGCTTAATCAAGCTGAATTAAAATCAATGCCAAAACCCACAAGCCTCCAGAACACCCTTTCTTCAGGAATAAAAAGTTCCTATGAGGTGCTAGAGAAAAAGGAGTGTGAGCTGAGTAGTAATAATTCAGACAACACAGTTTGGAGGAATTTTCATTTCCTAAGATATTGGACAGCAAGTTTCCTTTTCTATGAGGGAAAGCTATAAAAAATTCCTTGATCATAAAGTCACAGTAAGTTCTATTACATATCAAGATTTATAAGTATTTAAAAATGCTGGATTTCTTGGTAATTTTCCTATCTCTTGCAAAAGTACTTTAGCTAGCTCTACTTAAAAATTTTGATGTGTGGGGATGGGAAGGATGGTGGAATGAGATGGACAATATTGGGCTGGGGATGTGGCTCAAGCGGTAGCGCGCTCGCCTGGCATGCGTGTGGCCCGGGTTCGATCCTCAGCACCACATACCAACAAAGATGTTGTGTCCGCCGAGTTCTAAAAAATAAATATTAAAATTTCTCTCTCTCTCTCTCTCCTCTCTCACTCTCTCTTTAAAAAAAAAAAAAAAAGAGATGGACATTATTACCCTATGTACATGTATGATTGCACGAATGAGTCATAACCCCGCAGCGTGTCCAGCAAGAGAAATAAGAAGTTGTGTTCCATCTGTATACAATAAGTTGAATGTATTCTGCTGTCATGTATACTATTTAGAACAAATTTTAAAAATTAAAATTTTAATGTGGGTGCTTTAGTAATAGAATGTTGTATCTCTAATAAATATAAGTCTGAGAGCCTTAAAATCCTTTGGAGTTAGTAAATACAGAACTGTACTCAAGTATCTTTCCTTCTAAATTGGGGGTTAAGGTCAGAAAATATATTCTGGGAATGGGGATATAGCTCAGTGGTAAAGCAATTGCCTAGTTTGCTTAATGCCCTAGGTTCAATCCTCAGGACCACTTGGGGGGGAAAAATGCTACAAGAAAATATCTAAATATCCTCCTCCAAAAAATAAATACAGGGCTGGGGTTGTGGCTCAGTGGTAGAGCACTTGCCTAGTAAGTGTGAGGCACTGGGTTTCATACTCAGCACCACATAAAAAATAAATAAATAAAGGCATTGTGTACATCTCAACTAAAAAATATTTTTAAAATAAATAAATAAATAATCAAATACAACGAATGATAAGAACCAACATAAAAGTATTTGAGATTAGCCATCTGTAGAAATAATTCACCTTAAAAACTGGTTTAGAGCCAGGTGTAGTCATGCACACCTATAATCCCAGCAACTCAAAAGGTTGAGGCAGGAGGATTCCAAGTTTAAGGCTAATCTCAGCAATTAAGCAGGGTCCTAAGCAATTCAATGAGAACCCTGTCTCAAAAAATAAAAAGAACTGGGGATGTAGCTCAGTGGTAGAGTCCCCTGGCTTCAATGCCTAGTAGCAAAAGACAAAAAACATTGGTTTATAAACATGTCACTATTGAGATTAGGGCAGCTCAAACAGCAACAAGAATTTACTGTTTGATGCTATATGATTTTCTTGGAATAAACCCAACTACTAGGTATAATACTCAAAAAAAAAAAAAAAACCCAGAATCTACTGTCACCTGAATACAAATTAAGCTATATAAATATGTAAATCTCCTAGAAACTGCAAAGTGAAACCACAAAGACAAAGGAAGGATGATGGGACATATGCTGTACAGTAAAAGGATGTGGGAGGAGAGAAGTGAAGCAGGTAGAAGGTAGAATTGAGGACTGAAATGGAGAAAACTATGTTACATGCATTTATGAATATGCCAAAATGAACTCTACAATTAGGCATAACTATAATACATTTTAAAAAGAAAAAAGAAAAAGGAGAGCTGGTGTTTGCTTTGGTAGCATATGTACTAAAATAGGAACAGAAAAGATTAATGTAACCCCTGTGCAAAGATGACATATGAATCTGTGAAGCATTCCATACTAAAAAGAAAAAAGAAAATGGAAGGCTGGATGACCTGTGATTTACCAATGTCACTAGTATGGCATGGCATGGAGGAGGTATAACATCTAAGCACTAAGGCAGAAAAAGCCTCAGAAAGGTAAAGGACAACATATACTTGCCAGAGGCAAACACACTATACGAAGATACATTTTTGCCTGGCCACACATACTTGCCTACTCCAGCAAAAAAACGGCTCCTTCCTTTTCTAAGTTCAAAACCCAGCATACAGGGCTGGAGATATAGCTCAGTTGGTAGAGTGCTTGCCTCGCATACACAAGACCCTGGGTTTGATTCTCAACAACAACAACAAAAAGCATACACACCTTGGTTAGATTGTTTCGATAGATGGTGTTCAGGCGGCTCACATAGGCATCCCGCTTTTCTTTTATAACACTGCAACAAAACCTGAGTCAGTACTGAGAAACAGGATTTTCCTCTTTCAGTAGCCAGAGAGCTGTCCCAACACCCGTAAGCAGAAAATCATAGACTGTCAATAAAAATGAAGTGAATAAATATCTCTGAAGACAGCTGTCCTTTCCCTGTGACCACCTGCCTTCCTCTATGATGAGAATCCTTACTCCACTCCATGGAGAACGCTCAGTTGGCATCCACTTATGTGGGCTTCTTTCTGCATATAATCAAGGATAGTTGCTTTGGCATAGCACATAGAACATGGTGGCCACTCAAAAATGTTTATTGAAACATAAATAGCGAATAGATTTGCTAAAACTTTGTGAAAATTCAATGATTTCAAAAGTTTATGGCAATTTAGATGCAAAAGCGCACGCCTATAATCCCAGTGGCTCAGGAAGCTGAGGCAGGAGGATTGCAAGCTCGAGGTCAGCCTCAGCAATTAAGAGAGGCCCTAAGCAACTTAGGACCTATCTCAAAATAAAAAAATAAAAAGGGCTGGGGATGTGGTTAAGCTCAGTGGTTAAGTTCCCCTGGGATAAATCCACAGTATCTTCCTCCACCAAAAAAAAAATTTTTGGTGATTCCTTAAAAAGTTAAATATAGAATTGCCATATCATCCAGCAATTCCACTTCTAGGTATAGACCCAGAAGAATTAAAAACAGGGACTCAAACAGATACTTGTACACCAACATTTGCAGCAGCATTATTCTTAACAGCCATAAAGTAGAAATAACCCAATAGTCCATGGACAGGTAACTGAATAAAATATAGAAGGGATACTACTGCACAGTAAAGAGCATGAATTATTTATACAGGTTACAACATGAATAAACCTTGAAAATGTTATGCTAAGCAAAATAAACCAGACATAAAAGCAAATACATTATATGATTCTATGAAGAACCTAGCATAGGTTCAGCCATAAAGACAGAAAGTAGACTAGAGGTAGCAGTGGCTAGGGCATGGGGAATGAGGAGTTACATTTAATGGGTAAAGAATTCTGTTTGGGATGGTAGAAACGTACTGGAAATGCAGAGTGATCATGGCTGCACAACACTGGAATGTACTTAATGGTAAATTTTACATTGTACATATTTTACCACAATAATATCTCCCCAAGTTTAGGCTTAGTTACTAGAAATCTACATTTGCAAATTGAACCCCTTGAGCATTAATACTTACCGCCAATTGAATTTACTCTCACAGCTTTGAAAGCCATAATCAACATGATCATGCATGAATTCAGAGTGGACAGCTGTGTTCCACATTACCTATAAAGAAAAGTACCCAAAATAGTAGTACATGAGTCCTGAAGAAAGAAAGATGTTATGAATGAATGGTAACTATGTGACAGCAGGTAAGAACTAACCTTGAAATTAAAAACAAAACTAAACACACTAAGAATGAAAGTTCAGAAGCATGACCAGATGGACTGGACAGTGAGGCTTCTGAAATATTGGGCAAATTATAACCAATATAACCAATATTGTTAAGTAATAGAGTTTATAATAAATAATACGAAAGCAGAATATTACAAGCCTAATAGTTTTTTCAAAAAATTTTTAAACTTATCATTGCCTATATTCCTATTTTTTTTATATTTATTTTTTTCATTGTAGTTGGACACAATACCTTTATTTATTTATGTGGTGTTAAGGATCAAACCCAGGGTCTCACACATGCTAGGCGAGCACTCTACTGCTGAGCCACAACCCCAGCCCCCTATATTACTATTTTAAGTTTTTTTTTTTTTTAGATTTCTGTACTCCTTGTCCTTTTGATTCAATTCCAGGAAATGGAATGCATGTGTAACTTTACAGGATAGTAATTCAGAAGAAAAGCTATGAAATAAAGTTTTTGTTGTTCCTTTTTTTTTTTTTTTTTTTTGCTTTGGGCAGGGGGCACTGATGATTGAACCCAAGGGCACTTAACCACTAAGCCACATTCCCAGCCTTTTTTGAGAAAGGTCTTGCTGAGTTGCTTTGAGCCTCATTAGAATGTTGAGGCTGGCTCTGAGTTACAATACTTCTGCCGAATCCTCCCAAGTCGCTAATATTACAGGCATGCGCCACCGCATCCAGCAAGGACTAAAAATTCTAAGAGAACAAATTTCTATTATGTAGTCAGTAACTACAAACATGCCCTTAGAAGGATGTACATAATCACACATCTGGAATACAAATGTTGACTGCACCTGCTGTGGAATGCAGTCAGTCATTTGTAAAGGTCTTTTATGACAAATGAACATCAATTTAATGAGATTCAAACTGGCATCAAGAACCCTAGATAACAAACTACCATTTTTCTCTGCAAGACAAGCTTTAGACTACATCTTTGGCCAGCCTAAAATGCCTTCTTTGTACCTTTGTCCCTCTGCACTTAATATGATTAAAATGAGAACCGGGCACTGGGCCTGGTATACATGACTATAATCTCAGGGATTCAGGAGGCTGAGACAGGAGGATATGAAGTTTAAGGCCAGCCTCAACAATTTAGTGAAACCCTGTCTCAAAATAAAAATAAAAAGTAAGGGGGACTGGGGTGGTGGCTCAGCGGTAGAACACTTGCCTAGCTTGTGTGAAGCCCTGGGTTCGATTCTCAGCACCCCATGTAAATTAATAAAATAAAGGTCCATTGACAACTAAAAAATATTTTTAAAAAGGGGGTAGTGCATTAGGGACAAAGTTCAATGCTAAAGCACCCCCAGGTTTAATCCCCAGTACCACACAAAATACAGTCAATCAGTAAAGAAATATTTTAAAAGATTGTCAATGTTCATAAAAATAAGGACTGTTTGATTTTTTTTTAAAACTCAGGTGAAATTCATGTAACATAGAATTAACCATTTTATCTGCTTTATTCTTGATCTTAATGCACATGAAAGAGTCACTAACACCACAAATATTTTGCTTCCAGTTTGTATTATGTACTATGTGATAGCATCATGCACCTTCTGGAGAGGGTGCCTCTGTATGAACCACTTTAGGCCTTTTGGTTCAGATCTAATCATAGCAGTAGGGGCCACCGACCTCCGGTTGCTCCTCTACTGCTGATTCACTCTGCCCTTCCGATACAGGGGAGTTACTCTAGACTTCAGGCTGTTGTACAAAATAAGAGGCAACTACCAACTGATGCTCAAGAATGCAAAGCACTGAAATCAGTAGAGCCCAACAGAAATAAAAAACAAAAATCTACCAGATATGATCAGAAGGGATAAGTGAAATAAAATATGGGAACAAGACATTACAAATTCAAATTCCTATGCAGTATTTGTCCAGTGGTATTTTTAAAAATAATGAGGTAGCACTAGCCAACACCGAACTTATTGCCATAATTAGGTTTAAATTACATAAAATCACTGTACAACTTAATTTATGTAATTCATATATCCATGACCCCAAGTAGAACAGACTCCAAAGTCTGGAATTAAGGGCTGGAGGTGAAACTCAGTGGTAGAGTGCTTGCCTAGAATACACAGGCCATTGGTTTGATGTCTATTACCATAATTTTTTTTTAAATTTTAAATCTACAATTAAAAGGAAAGAAAATAATGGAAACAGTGTCCCAAAGAAAAGAGCAAATTTCCTAAAAACCTACCTTACCAAAGGAATGGATTTCAGAAAATCTTTCTGAAATGAAATTTCAGTGGAGTGCATGTCATTTGCTTACAAGACATCAGAAAGCTGCCAATTTAAAGTTGAAGACCAGGCCAGGCATGATGGCTCATACCTACAATCCCAGTGGCTCAGGAAGCTAAGGCAGGAGGATTGCAAGTTCAAAGCCAGTCTCAGCAACTCAGCAAGGCCCTAAGCAACTTAGTGAGACCCTGTCTCAAATTTAAAAAGTTAAAAAAAAAAAAAAAAAAAAAAGGGTTGGGAATATGGGTCAGTAGCTAATTGCCCTGGATTCAATCCCTGGTACCCAATAAACAAATAGCTGGCCCTCTGTATCCAGTTACACATCTGTGGACTCAGACAACCTAAGATGGAAAATATTAAAAGAAAATTGTGTCTGTACTGAAATTTACAGAATTTTCTTGTCATTTTTTAGGGAATAATGATAAGAAAATTTTAACAACTATTAACAAAGCATTTACACTTTATTAGGTATTATAAGTAATCTAGTGACGATTAAAAGTATACAGAGGGAGCCAGGCATGCTGGCACACACCTGCAATCCCAGTGACTTGGGAGGCTCAAGCAGGAGGACTGTAAGTTCAAAGCAAGTTCTCAGCAACTTAGTGAGACCTCATCTCAAAATAAAATTTAAAAAATGGGCTGGGGATGTGGCTCAGTGGTTAAGGGCCCCTGGGTTCAATCTCTGGTACCAAAAAAAAAAAAAAAAAAAAAGTATACAGAAGAGTGGTTTATAGAGGATACGCAAATACTACACCATTTTAATATAAGGGACTAGTGCACCCATGGATTTTGGTACACTCAGGGGTCCTAGAACCAATCCTGCATTAATATTGAGGGACAACTGTGCGTTCAAATGTATCATAAAATTATTTGCAACCATAAGCAAGAGGCAACTTTGGGAATAAAAGATGCAATTTTTCCTCTATGTGAAACAGAGAAATGAGTTCAATGAAAACTACACCACAGATATCAGGACCAAAAAATCATGAACATGGTATTTTTTTTAAGCCACTTTTAGTTGGTTTCTCAGTTACGTTTCACAGAAATAATTTTAAATGATATATTTGAAAATGTCCTTGTTCTGATCATGATTTACCAAGCATGAAAAAGGAGTACAGAAAAGAATTTTTACCTTTTTGGGTACACATCCAACATTCACCTAAGGGGGAAAAAAGAAACATACTTTAAGAAAATGAAACTCAAACCATTAAATGCACCTGCAAGAAAGGAACTGTAAACATCAAATAAGACTTTCTTGAGTTCTTTTTCTTTATTTAAATTAGGTATATATGACAGTAGAGTGCATTTTGATTCATTGTACACAACTGCAGTACAACTTTCATTTCTCTGATTATAGACAATGTAGTGTCCCACCATATATGTACAGTCATACATGTACCTAGGGTAATAATGTCCATCACATTACAACATCTTTCCTGTCCCATACCCTCTCTCCTTACCCCCCTCCCCTTTGCCCAAAGTTCCTCCATTTTTTTCCATGCCCTCCCCCATTATGGATCAGCATTCACTTTCCAGAGAAAACATTTGGCCTTTGGATTTTGGGGATTGGCTTACTTAGCATGATATGCTCCAACTCCATCCATTTACCTGCAAATGCCATAATTTTATTCTTTCTTAATGCTGAGTAATATTCCATTGTGTATATATAACACAGTTTCTTTAGCCATTCATCTATTGAAGGGCATCTAGGTTTCTTCCACAGTTTAGCTACTGTGAATTAAGCTGCTATAAACATTGATGTGACTGTGTTACTATAGTATGCTGATTTTAAGTCCTTTGGGTATAGACCAAGGAGTGGGATAGCTGGGTCAAATGGGGTTCCATTCCAAGTTTTCTAAGGAACCTCCATACTGCTTTCCAGATTGATTGCACCAATTTGCAGTGTCACCAGCAATGTGTGAGAGTGTGCCTTTCCCCCCACATCCTCACCAACACTTATTGTTGTTTGTATTCTTGATAACTGCCATTCTGACTGGCGTGAGATTTGCATTTCTCTAATTGCTAGAGATGTTGTTGTTGATCGATTGTATATCTTCTTCTAAGTGTGCTTAGCTCCTTAGCCCATTTATTGATTGGGTTGTTTGGGGTTTTTCGGTGTTTAGTTTTTGAGTTCTTTATATTTCCTGGAGATTAGTGTTCTATCTGATGTGGATGTGGTAAAAATTTGCTCCCAAAATGTAGGCTCTCTTTTCATCTCATTGATTGTTTCCTTTGCTGAGAAGAAACTTTTTAGTTTGAATCCATCTCATTTATTAATTCCTGATTTTATTTCTTCACTTTAGGAGTTTTGTTAAGGAAGTTGGGGCCTAATCTGACGTGATGAAGATTTCAGCCTACTTTTTCCTCTATTAGGTGCAGGGTCTCTGGTCTAATTCCTAGGTCCTTGATCCACTTCGAGTTTAATTTTTGTGCATGATGAGAGAGAGGGCTTAGTTTCATTTTGTTGCATATGGATTTCCAGTTTTCCCAGCATCATTTGTTGAAGAGGCTATCTTTTCTCCAATGTATGTTTTCGGCTCATTTGTCTAGTTTGAGATATCTGTATTTATGTGGATTTGCCTCTGTGTCTTCTATTTTGTACCATTGGTCTACATGTCTATTTTGGTGCGAATACCATGCCATTTTTGTTACTATAAGCTTTGTAGTATAGTTTAAGGTCTGGTATTGTGATGCTTCCTGCTTCACTCTTCTTTCTAAGGACTGCTTTGGCTATTCTGGGTCTCTTGTTTTTCCAAATAATTTTTTCCTTGAGTTCTAAGTCACTAGATTGTACGGCTACTTCCTTTTTTCTATCATAGAGTAGGAAAAGATAAGAATATTATTTTCCTCATGTAATGAAGTAGAAAATCTTTACTTAGCATTTTCTCAAGAGAAGGGGTCAGCAAGAAAGGAAAGAACATCAATCAGATCATTTGAGCAGCTATCTTAGAGGATTTCTGGAAATCTTATTCTGGAGTATATGGATAAAACACCTAGAATGGCCTCTGCTAAAACCACAAGTAGAGAATGACATTTTATTCCTTAGGGCCAAAATAACGAGATTCATCCCTACTATGAAGCCTTGATTCTTAGTATTCTAATAGTCAACACACAAAGGAAAACAGTTCTAAGAGTTTATCCACCAGATATTTAGGAAGGTAACTATTTAGATAAGGAGGCTACAGAAAAATATCTTCTAGATGGGTTTAGTGGCACATACCTGTAACTCCCGTGACTCAGGAGGCTGAGGTAGAAGGATCTCAAGTTCAAGGCCAGCCTCAGCAACTTAGAAGACCCCATCTCAAAATAAAAAGTATGGGGATATAGCTTAGTGGTAAAGTACCCCTGGGTTCAATACCTAGTACTAAAAAAAGAAAAAAAAATGCCTCAGAAGGATCTTTATATTTTTAGGTACTGGAGACTGAATGAATCCAAGGGTGCTTTACCACTGAGCTACATCCCCAGTCCTTTTTTTTTTTTAATATTTTTTAATTGTAGATGGATACAATACCTTTATTTATTTTTATGTGGTGCTGAGGATCGAACCCAGTGCCTCACACGCGCAAGTCTTGCGCTTTACCACTAAGCCACAACCCCAGCCCTTCCCCAGTCTTTTTTGAGACAGGGTCTTGCTAAGTCGCTGAGGCTGGCCTCAAACTTTCAATCATCCTGCCCCAGTCTTCAAAATAGCTGGGATTTCAGGCCTGAACATCACACTCAACACAAGGATCTTTATAAACAAGATGCAGTGTTCATCCTTATACACACATTTTTGTGCTTATCAGTTAATTTTCTTTTGATTACTTCCTAAATTTTTTTAAACTGAGCTAATTAGGACTTTGATTACAAGGCCTTAAGTTAGAAATATGGGCTTAACTAAATGATTAACTACTCTGTGTACCCTAGGGGAGGAGCTGCTTGTAAAAGGAAAACTATGCTGATCTCACTTTTTTGAAGGACAAATTATAAACTCCGTATAGACTGGCTATCTGATGTGTATTTCACATAACCTTTAACCTTATGAGTACTGACTGGAAAGCCCTGGATTCAATCCCCAGTGTTGGGAAATAGGGTGGAAATAACCCAAATGATATTTCTCATCAGATTGGTAAAAATGTAAGATTGCTGGGCACTGAGGCACATGCCTGTAATCCCAGTGGCTCTAGAGGCTGAGTAAGGAGGATCATGAGTTAAAGCCAGCCTCAGCAATGGCAAGGAGCTAAGCAATTCAGTGAGACCCTGTCTCTAAATAAAATACAAAATAGGGCTGGGGATATGGTTCAGTGGTCAAATGCCCCTGAGTTCAATCCCTGGTACCACACCCCCCAAGAAATATAAAAGATTGACTATAACTAATGTTAGCAAGCACATCACATTTGGTCCAGATATTCTATTTTGGGGAATGTAACCTAGAGAAATGGTAACATATTTTGTTCATGTGCCCCAAAAGATAAATGTATAAGGATGTTCCCTGAAACATAGTCATAATGTATAACTGGGAAGAGTTAACTATCCATCAGAAGAGAAGTAGTAAATAAATTACCGTACACCGAGCCTACGGAATACTCTGCAGTCGTTCAAAATGATAAAGTAGATTTCTACATACTGTTATGGAATACTGAATTCTAAGACACAATAGCTCCCCCTATCAGTAGTGGGCACATTCCAAGACCTACAGAATACCTCAAACTGTAGCTGGTACCAAACAAACCCCATATATGCTGTTTTTCCTTATACATAAGATAAAGTTTTAATTTATAAATTGGCCACAATAAGAAAACAACTGATAATAAAATAGAACAATTTTGATAATGTGATAAAAGTTATGTGAATGTGGTCTTTCTCTTACTCTCAAAATATCTCCTGTATTGTACTTATCCTTTCTTGTTGACTATGAGTAACTCAACTGTGGATGATGGGGGACTACTCTATAATATAATGTGGCAAAAAGAAAGAAAACAATAGCTGTTCCATGGCATAATTTGTATTTATAATTATATGTACATATAGCCACACATCATGTAACGGTGTTTTGTCTTTTTTTTTTTTTGGGGGGGGGGTGGGTAACCAGGAATTGAACTCGGGAGCACTTGACCACTGAGCCACATCCTTAGCCCTAATTTTGTATTTTAGAGATAGGGTTCGAGTTGTTTAGCGCCTCGCTTTTGCTGAGGCTGGCTTTGAATTTGCAATCCTCCTCAGCCTGCCAAGTCGCTGGGATTACAGGCCTGCACCACCAGTCCAGCAACTGTGTATACACTAGTGTCTCTTATATCCTAGTGATATTATTGCCATCTTAGTTTGTATAAGTACACTCTATGATATCTACACAGTGATGAAACTAAATAACACATTCCTCAAAACATATTGGTATTGAGCATAAATGACTGTATATATGTACAAACACAGTTTGGCTACATTCCAAGCAGTCAATGGGGCTATCTCTAGGAAGGAAGAAAAATTCCATATTTCACTCTGTATGCTTTTTATAATAGTAAATAGTCATTCATTACTTGCATAATTACTTTAGATAAATAAACCAAAATAATTTTATTTGGGAAGTAGCATTTAGGTTAAGTGATTCTTTGTTCCCTCTTGTTCATTATATAATTTTTAATATGAAAATGAATACTTTCTAGATAAATTATATCAGGTGTTGATATAATGATGATGGTCATAAGGAACTACATTGGCTTTCTGTATGCTCCAAGGATACAGGCCCAGCTCTTGTAACAAAAGCTTTCCAGGTATGCTTCTGTTGTGAAGGCTGAACCACACTGTATGCACCAGGGCAATTGTTATGACATGTTAGATTCAAAGACAGCACCCAAATCTCATTAAGATCTCTTACTTTTGAAAGAAGTAGTCTTTTTGAAAAGTAATCCATTCTTCTATTCCAAATTCTATTTGCTATCAGCATATTTGGTACAAATCTATTATAATTCCATTATTCATTATTATATGATGTAAAATTATAAATGAGTGAGTTATGCTTCTATATGGTCTCCTACCATTATTTGGCCTCCCCACCCAAAGGGATATGAGAGGTCATATTAAAAAAGCAACAAAGGCAGGAAACCATGTGACTAGAGAAGGATGCAGAATTCAAACCTACTAAAGAATCAAGACCCATACCAATATGCAGAACACTATTCAGAA